CTTTGATTGTCTGGCGAAGGGTTTAAGGTATAAATATACGTGAGTTACACATCCAATAGCATGGTTAGGAGCCCTTTATAATGATTGATAAGGTTAAGAGAAAAGCAAAGGCATCCCTGATGATTTAAGAGATATAAATAGTTAACAAGTAACATTGGCTAAGCACTCTATCAAGTTATATGAAAAACACAGTTCTTAGCATCAAGTTTAAGAAAGGATTTCACTAAACTGAGCCATCACATTTCAATGAAGTGTATGTTTGTTCAAGTTTCTACATGATAGCCCTTACAAGCAGTGGTGGTGGTGGCCGTTTTCTATTTTTTTAACATTACAGTCTACAAAGACAGAATTCAGGGAATTGCAAGAGAATTAAGGGATAATAAACCCAAGGCTTATAACTACAAACTAAAATGTTCAGTTTCTTTTATAGTACCACAAGCAGCTCATATATTGTTGCCAATATGCATAATACAGGAGTATTTCAAACCTGAATATGCCAAGTATAGGAAGCCCCTTTAGCACTGCAATACTTTTCCTCATGAGAAGTACAGCTCCAGCACCATCACTTACCTGACTAGCATTACCTATAAATGCATGGACCGAATTAAAATAAAATGGAAGAAGAACAATCACTGTTCCTGACAATTTACAATCACTGTTCCTGACAATTTACACAGCATAAGGTCCATACCAGCAGTGGTGCTCCCATCTTTATGGAATGCAGGTTTGAGTTTTGCAAGGCCTGCCATAGATGTGTTTGGACGGATTCCTTCATCCACAGAAACTGTAATTTGCTTTTCTTCTCCAGTTTTTGCGTCTACAATCTTGATGATGAAACATTATGAGAAAGAAAAAACATGCAAGGGTTGTGTTTTCACTGTCATATAGAAAGGAGATTATTATCTGAAAATTATCAGGAGAAAAAAAGATGAAGTCAACCAGAAGGAAATAAAAAAAAGTTTTAACATTCTCTTCCAAAAGGAAATAAAAAAGGTTTTAACATTCTCTTTTGCATCATTGCAGACTTTGCACAAGGTATAATTTTTAAAAATTTTGAACTCCATCGAAACCACAGGTATCACAATAGGTAAAATTATATAATCTTCAAAGTCTCTCTTACCCATTTATTAAAGATGAACAGAAAATAGGAAAAAATTTAGTTTATCCATATTAATGCAGATCACTAACACTTTAAAATGTGTTGACATAGACATCAAATCTCAGATGAGTGTGAGTACTGTCATACTGTCAACGGCTATAAGTTCTGCCCCCAAATTTGCCAGACATAAAGTATAGCACACATCCTCTCCCAAGATTGTGAACATTGCATGGACAAATACCTCAAGTGTATAGTTATAGAACTAAAGTGGTACCTAATTGCTGGAAAGAGCAAGAATAAACTAAAAAACTCTAGTTAGTGGTATAAAGAATAGGTTTTCACCTTCGTGGTCACAGGTATTATTTCTTCCTTAAATTTACCAGCGGCAGTTGCTGCTGCAGCTCGCTTATGAGATTCAACCTGATAACAGAGTAAAACATAACAAAAAATTATGAATAAGAATTGCTTACATTTACCCAAGAGAAACATTATTACGGAAAAAGTAACTTACAGCAGCTTGATCCTGCTCCTCACGAGTGACACCAAAACGTTGTGCAACATTTTCAGAAGTAATACCCATGGGAAGAAGGCAGTCTTGAGCTTGTGGAAATAACTGTGCCTAAGGCATTAATAAATGTATTGTTATTACAATATAGAAGTCAAAAGTTATTATATATAAAAGCAAATGCTAGATACAAACATACCCTTGGGTTAACAGGTCGCACCAATTTAACTGAGTCGGCACTCATTGATTCTAAACCTGCTCCAATACCTACATTGGCAACACAATTTTAAGAATTTCATTGAAACAGTTGTGACTAATTAATTTGCGAATAGACCTACCGATATCATAGAAGCCTGCTTTTATTGCAGCAGCAACATCAGCAACTGCCTGAAGACCAGACGAGCACTGCCGGTTCACAGTTCGCGAAGGGACGGTATCTGTTTATCAAGAAAATGTTTAAGAAAACTATAATCCAGAGAGATGGCACATGTACAACAAGTAGGAAAGTACCCGGGAAACCAGCATAAAATGCTGCCATCCTGCAAAGAATTGCTCTTTCTGAACCCGGCGCCAAGACAGTACCAACAACAATATCACCAACTTCACTGGGGTTCAGCTTAGTCTTATCTATCAATGCCTGAAAGGGAGGTTCATAATTAAAACATACATGACACCAGGGAAACATTTTGAGCACAAAGAAAACTCTTGTATAACCACCCAACTCCGATGCAAGGCATTTCTCCCTAGAAACTTTATAACCGTAAAGCACCTATGAAAAATTTAACAATGACAAACCTTGAGGAGAGGCACTAGCAGGTCTTCAGGGTGTGCATCCTTGAAACCTCCTCGTGTTGCCTTTCCAATTGCAGTTCTGTAAGCACTGTATGACACATAGTGGTAGCAGTACGAATGTATCAGCTAGAGAAGCTAAACGTCATTCTAAAAATAGACTATAAGGAAAATGAAAAGTGATTGTAAAGCTAAAAAAGCAGTCATAAAACCTGTCAGTATGTGAAAACCAATGGATCTAATTATATATAATACAGTAATATCATCTTTTTAGGTCATTTGATGCCCAAGTAAGGAACCATAAAAACACGAGTTTTTCAATATACGGATTTAAATGATTTCGGTCATGAACAACAATCACAATACATACACTCTCCAGCCGATAGGGTCAAAGTTCTAAAATCCTACCAGTATAATCCTAGTGACACTCCAATTACCAAAAGCTATTTGATTCGATCTTATTTAGAACATTCACGAACATCAAAATCTTTATGTTTTTTGGATCAGGATCACTAGGTTGTACTTCTAACTTAAAAAGTCAGTGCTTTGCTCATCATGGTACTTTTAAGTGATTAATACATGGGTAACATGTCCTGCAATCGTGTGTCTCTCTATTTTAGGCATTTTGAAATATGTAAATTATTTTAACTTTGGCTGCAATGGTGGATAACATGAGCTTACTCAGAAGTTGCATCCTAGTATATGTTGAAAATCGGAACCAAAAAGAGCAGGATCACAGCTAATATTAGTGCGAAAATAATAAACTGGACACAAATTTTTACATGGAAAACCTCATAAATAAATTAGGGTAAACACCGCAGGCAAGAGTAAAAGAATTCACTATGAGGAAAATTTTAGGAGTTACAATATCTCTCTTATACAAGGAGAAACTCTCTCTATTTTTCTCACCCTTCTATTTGAATTTGGAGATGCAGATGAACTCTGAAGCATGCTCCTTTTATAGGCAAATTTGGTTTTGATTTGTCAACAAATGCGGCTGAGGAATTTCTTTATTTTCGGTTCCGCAAGTATCTTTTTTATCAAAAGTTGTGACTCCATCTTTCGGTGCTGAATTTTTTTTCTTTTGTCAAAATTTAAGGCTCCATCCAACAATCTCCCACTTAAAGATTTGATTGAGAGTCAATTATATATTCACACCATTCTTTCTATCTTTTCATTTCCATGTTGCTCACATTTTCTTCAAACCACAAGCGGATCGACACCAAACAAATTTGTCAGTATTGACTGTGTTTGTCAAAATATCTACTAGATTGTCTTTGGTATGAATTTTATGTTTTTTTACTATTCCTTCCACTTTTTCACGAACGAAGTGGTACTGAACTCGAATGTGCTTTGTCTCTGAATGAAAAGCTGAATTTCTTGCCAAATGCAAAGTACTTTGACTGTCACAAAATAGAAAAATCTTCTTTTATTCATGCCCGAGTTTCTCCAATACCATTTTCAACTATACCGCCTCTTTACTAGCATGCGCAGCTGTTACATATTCTGCTTTTATTGTTGTAGTCACAACTGACTGCAGATTTGGAACTCAACTTACAGCTCCGTCACTAAGTGCAAACACAAAACCTGTGTTGGATTTGCTTTTATCACAATCACCTCCATATCAGAATCAATATATCCACTGACAATAAAGTTTGATCCCCCATAGCATAATGCAACATTTGAGATCATCTTAATGTATCTTAGGATCCTTTTTACAACATTCTAATGTTTTTTACCAGGATTCGTTATGTATCGACTAACTACTCATACTGCTTATTTAATGTCAGGTCTCGTACAAATCATAGCAAATATTAAATTTTCACTGCTGATGCATATGGTCCTTGAGACATCTCTATCCTCTCTTCTTTACTGTTAGGATTCGTATTGAATGATAACTTGAAATTGATAGGAAGCAGGGTAAAAATTAACTTACAATCTTGCATATTAAAGCATTGTAAGATTTTCTTTAAATAATTCTTCTGAGAAAGTCAAATCTTCCTATTAATTTTGTCTCGGTGAATTTGAATCCCTAAAATCTTGTTTGCAGATCCTAAATTCTTCATTTCAAATTCCTTAGCAAGTGTGCCGTTAATTTTTTGATACGATTTTTGTTGGGGTCTGCAACCAACATGTCGTCAACATACAACAATAAGATAACAAAATTATTTTCACCAAACCTTTTAAAGTATGCACAATGGCCTATATTAAGTCTGTTGTATTCAAGGCTCATGGTGAATGAATCAAATCTCTTGTACCAACACATCGGCGCCTGTTTTAGATTGTACAGAGATTTTTTTAAATTTGCGAACCAATTTTTTTCTTCAAAACCTTCTGGTTAAGAGTATATAAATTTTTTATTCAATATCTCCATTAAGAAAGGCAGTTTTCACATCTAGCTGCTCTAGATGTAAGTCATATATAGCACTCATAGCCAAAACTACTCGGACTATTGTAAGTGGAACTACAAGAGAAAATATTTTATTAAAGTCAATATCTTCTTTTTAAGCATATTCTTTCACCACCAGTCTAGCACAATATCGCTCCACTTAATCGTCGTCATTTCGCTTGATCTTATAGACCCATTTATTTTCAATAATCTTTCTTCCTTGAGGCAGTGACACAAGTACTCAAATCTTATTCTTATGGAGGGTTTCAATTTCTTCTTGCATTGCTGTCATCCACAAAGATGCATTTATGCTATTTATACTTCATGAAAAGTTAACAGCTCTCTACCCTCTGTTAGAAGACAATATGCAACATTACTCCGTAATATACTCCGAGTGCCAAGTCAGTGGTCTTTTCTCACGAGTTGACCTTCAAACTTCTAGAGCCTCGAACTCGACTAACTCTTGTACATCATGCTCCGGCGTTGCTTTAGAAGAAACTAGTTTATTTTCTACCTAACAGCTATAGTTTCTGAGTCCTTAAAATTGTTTTCTTTCTCTTCTTTTTATAGTTAGCTCGTAAAGATAACATCTCTGCTGACTATAGCCTTGCGGATAGTAGGATCCCACAAGCAATACCCCTTCATTCCGTCAGCATACCCTAAGAATATGTATTTTCTAAATTTTAAATCTAGCTTTCTAATTTTTTAGGCATTATACATTGTATATACTGGACTTTTAAATACATGGAGGTTTGAATAATCAGCTGGCTTACTAGTCCACGTCTTCATCGGTGTCTCTAACTCAATATTGATGGAACTCGATTCACCACATAACAGACGGTTTTTACTGCTTCTGCCCAAAAAACTTTATCCAAATCAGCATTGCTCGTATTTTTTCTAACAGAGTTCTGTTCATCTGCTTTGTCACTCCATTTTGTTGAGTATATGAAATCCTGAATTGTCTTTTGATGCCTTCTTATTTACAGAATGTAAGAAATTCGACGTTTGTATATTCTCCTCCATTATCTGTCATTAGGCACTTGATCTTCTTTCCATATTCAAGCTCGACACATACTTTGTAATCTTAAAAGACCGAGAACACATTTGCCTTCCTCTTGATAGGATACACTATCTTTTAAAGTAATCATATCAATAAATGATACAAAGTACTTTGCTCCTCCCATGGATGTAACAGGTGTCTGCCATACATCAAAATAAATTAGTTCCAGAATAGCCTTACTTCTAATACTCGATGTGTTAAACTTCTATCGATGCTGCTTATTCGTAACATAATGCTCACAGAATGGAAGAGTTATTAAGTTGAGCCTAGAAAATAATTTCTGGTCAGAGAGAATCTTCAAGCCTCATACTGCCATGTGGCCTAGTTTACGATGTCACATCATGATTAGTTCTTCTTCATGACTAGTTGATGTCACACATAAATCAGCTTCCTGCAGGGTTTCTTCCTTAAGCTATCTTTTCTCCTTTTATTACAATAAGCGCTCCGCCAACAATTTTCATAATCTCATTTTCTATATAGGTCTTACATCTGAGCTTATCTAATTGTCCTAAAAATAATAAATTCTTCTTCAAACCTTTCATATGTCGTACATCTTTAATAGTGTGTATTGTATCATTAAATATTTTGATTTTAATAATATCAATACCAGAAATTTTTAAGGCATGATCATTACCCATAAATACAAATGTTCCTGTGATTGGTTCATATTTGTGAAAACCATTCTCTTCGAGAGGTCATGTGTCACGTGGCTACTAAATCTAGAAGCCAGACATCAGCAAAATTCTTTCTATATTTATCAACAATTATTGCCCCACTATATAAAATTTCACAATCGTCTAATATATTTACAATGCATCTTTGAGATGTTAATGGCTTTGAAGATTTATCACCACTCTTCTTATTATGCCAACACTCCGATTTCACGTACCATCTTTTTTCACAATTATAATATTTAATATTTTTCTTACTTCTTGATTTTGATCAAACATGGGTATGATTCCCACTGGGGCCACATTCTGTTGATCTTCTTCTAGTTACCATCAAGGCCTCCACTTGTTGCAAACTTGTCTGACTGTCTTTCTTGTTCTTGCGCCGATTTTTTCCTCCAGACTACAACGTCATCGAAGACTAGATAGTCCGTAAGAACATATTTGTTAAATTGATGATGAGCTGATCATATGAGTCAGGTAGCCTTTGAAGTAAAAGTTTTGCACGTTCATTCATACCGATTGTATGTCCCAATGTTGTAAGTTGAGAAAATAGTGTGTTTAGGGCATTGATGTGGTCGGTCATCAATGTAAATTTCATCATCCTCAAGGTGTAAAGTCTTTTTTTAAAAAAGATTTTGTTATGTAAGGATTTCACCTCATATAGCTTTATTAGAGTATCCCAGATCTCATTTGCTGTTTTCTTCTCCTCTATGCTTAACAACACCTCATCTGCTAATACTAGATGGAGATTTACAATAGATTCACGTCCATCTCATATCACTTCATGTTATCTACGATGTCTTCTGACCTTTCACTGATAGCCGTTAGATAATTATATTTTCTCAAGATAGTATTTATCTTTAACTTTCACAGTGAGAAATTACTGTCGTTGAATTTTTTAATCTCAAACTTTACTGCTTAAAGTCATTTCAATTCTTTGCATCTAGAGTTGACTTTTACAGTAGAATATACTATTGGATGGAGCCACAAATTTTGACAAAAGAAGAGAAAATTTGTGGCACCAAAAATGGAGCCGCAACTTTTGACAAAAAAATATACTTGCGGCACGAAAAATGAAAAAATTCCTCGGCCGCCTTTGTTGACAAATCAAAACCAAATTTGCTTATAAAAAAAGCAGGCTTCAGAGTCCATCTCCCAATTCAGATAGAAGAGAGAAAAATAGAGAGTTTCTTCTTGTATAAGAGAGATATTGTAACTCCTAAAATTTTTCTTATAGTGAATTCTTCTACTCTTGCTTTTTACCCCAATTTATTTAGAAGATTTTTCAAGTAAAAATATGTGTCTAATTTATTATTTCCGCACTAATATTAGTTGCGATCCTGCTTTATATGGTCCCGATTTTCAATAAGGTGGCTGGAAATTTTCCTTATATTCAGTGCCACAAGTATCTTTCTTTGTTAAAAGTTGCAGCTCCATCATTTGTTGCTGCAAATTTTCTTTTTTCTTTTGGTCAAAATTTGCGGCTTCATCCAACAACAAGGTTGTTGATAGCCGATAGCATCGCATCACAATGAGGTACCTCTAAAGCTATATAGTGCTATTACGGCAAAATAACGGCAAATAGCGCATAGTCAAATAGTGATCAAATATAAATATATTTTAATATTCTAAAAAATAAGAAAAATTATAAAAATCCTAAAAATTCTACAAATGCATATTTGAAGTAGAGGACCTTGCAAATTATTTAGCCAAATTACCTTTTTTCTCTGTTGCAGATAGTCGCAGTGATGGAGAAGGTGAGCCCGTGAGAGGTGTTGCTATTGGAAATGGAGTCGATCAGAGATGGCGGTGTTGCTAAGGGAAATAGAGTCGACCGGAGGTAGTGCTGCTGCTGCCAGAGAAGGTGGTTTCAGCCTCTAATGGAGGCAGCAAGGGAGGTGGTCACTAGAGGTGAGAGAGAGAGAGAGGCGTGAGAGAGAGTTGAGATGGGTTTTTGTTTTATGGGTTTGGGTAGGGATTTTTTGAAAAGAAATAACGGTGTTTAGCGCTTTTAAGCGCTATAAACACCGCTATTTCACGCTATTAACCGCTTTTTCGAGTAAAATGTGGTTTTCTCCGCAATCGCACACCGCTATCATGTTTATCGGAGTGGTTCACCATCGCTTCCGCGATTAGTGGTGCTATAGCGCAGCTATTTCACACTTTTTACAACACCGTCCAACAGTATACTGTAAAAGTTAACTCTGACTGCAAAAAATTGAAATAACTCCAAGATTTCCACAACTACCATCAGTCTATCTTCAGTTAAATTCGTACTTCATACTTCTCCTAACCACAGCTGCAAATCCTAAATTCCAATCACGGAAATTGTTACCATTTCTTATTTGGATTTGCAATTAAAGTTGCTATCACAATTACGATCACAACACCAATTCTAAGTATTGCTCAGAATGGTTGAATATAACCAAAATTGCAGATTCCAGACGCATCAATTCAAACAACAAGAGTTAAAATTTCAACTGAAACTAAGTAATCATCTCATCGAAATTTCAATTAAAAGTAACCAAATAGATAAAATTCAACCAAAATTTCGTAAGAAGAATTTTTCAAAACAGACCCATTCCCATTTTTTTTTAAAACCGACCCTTTTTTTTTTTTATCAAAACCGACCCGATTTTGTAATTAGCAGCTTAATCACCATCCTAAACAGTCGAGGTTGCCAACCCCGACTATTTAGGAAGGTGTTAAACCCTAATTAGAAGCCTTAAACCCTAATTAGAAGCCTTAAACCCTAATTAGAAGGTAATTAAGTAGTTAATTACAAAATCGGGTCGGTTTTGGTAAATAAAAAAAAAGGGGTCGGTTTTTAAAAAAAAATGGGAATGGGTCTGTTTTGAAAAATTCTTCAATTTCGTAAACTCGAAGGAAAAAAACAGTCTTTTCTTTCCCCAGTATAGAAACTTACGCTACAATAACAACATCATCCCCAAAACTAGCATTCCTCTCGTACGCGGCGCTATCTCCAGCAGCACAAACCGACGCCTAATCAAACAAAATCAAACCATGTCGGATCACAGTGTCTCATCAATCTTAAACCCTAGCTCAAAAAATACCGATCGAAATCAGAAAAAAAAAATACCGAAAGAAGAGATTGATCCGTGGAAGACGAGGGCTTCAGATGCTGAAGCAAGATCCTCTGCCTATTGATCGCCTTCTCCATCTCGCTCTCTGGCTCTCCTCTCTCTCCCTCGAAACACTGAATCGACGACTAGAGAGAGAACGAAGAGAGATTTCCTTTTTTATTTGAGGAAGAAGCAGGCCGATTGTATGAAACGCGTGCGCGTCATTACTATTTTGGTGGACCCACTAATTTTTTTATTGACACGTGGACCTTTTAGTGTGGTTTTGACTTTTGAGTGCGTGATAGGATCCGTTTGGTTCAAGTTTTTTACCTAGGTTCTTGGACAGAAAGTCTACCAAAGTGACATTTTTGACAGACTTCCTGCCCAAAACGTCACTTTTAGAGACGTTTTGGGCAGAAAGCCTCCAAAAGTGACACTTTGGCAGGCTTTCTGCCCAAGAACCTAGACAAAAAACTTAAACAAAACGGGCCCATATCGGAAAAGTTTTGGGAGTAATTTGGGCAGGTTAGGCCGTAGCTTTCGAGGAACAGGGGGTGCCTGGAAAACTAGGGCTCCCTTTGGGTATCAGCGTGTTTTATTTATTTTTATGGTGTTTTTGTTAAAAATAATATATTATGTGTTTAAAAATCATGGTGTTTTTTGAGCTAAATCATCCCCAAATCAAAAACACAACACTTATTTCAAAACAACTTTTAAGTGTTTTAAGTTTGATGTTTGGTTTTGAGTTTGAAAATGTGTTAATATAATATCTAACATAATATATTAAATATAATTAATATAGAGTTATTATCAACATATTTATTAAATTATCCTATACTATACTATATTATAGTTAATTTAATATTAGTAATATTTATTAAATAATATAAAAATATACTAAATAGAATATCTTATATAATAATATAATAGAATATTAAATACCAATATTTAATATGCCAATAATGTATTATATAATAAATAATAATAATAATAATATATAAATAAAATAATAAAAAATAATAAAAGTTATTGATAATAAATATTAATATAACAATGATATAATAATATACTATACAATAGCATAATTGCTATAATATTATTAACTTTTTAATAATTAAATTGTAATAAATTAATAATTATTTATATAATATTAAAATATTTATAATATATTAATTTATTAATAACATACTAGTAATAACATAATATTAGCATTATTAATAATATTATATTATATGAATAATATTATAATATTATATTATATTAATAATAAAATACATTATTATAAAAATATTAATATAATATAAAACAATAGCAAATTGGTATACCAAAATAATTAAATATATATAATTATTTGAAAATAATATGTAATAATTATAATATAATATAACTCATTAAAGTACAATATAATATTATAATACATTATACAATATTATATTGCATTACATTTAATACTTATAATGCTATAATAATATAAACTAAATATTATAATATTTTATTGTAATTAATATATAATATATTAATAAATATTTAATATTAATGTTATAATGGGTCAAACTAGTGTTGACCAAAAATACTAAACATGCTGTTTTGAAAATATTTTAAGGGACAAACACAACTCCATGATGTTTTTTTATAAAAACACAGTAAGGAAAACACCATGATATCTAAACGAAGCCTAGAGTATTTATATGGAAAGTCGTTATCCATTTCATCATTTTTCTATTTTAGTATTTAAATTGTTTAGTTAATAATCTTTATGAATCATAAAATAATAGTATTATATAATTTTGATAGAATAATGTAAATTTGAAAAGTGATAGATATGTATGCCTTTTTTTTATCGCGTCATGTGTACCCTATTAAAATGTTTATTTTATAATGGATAGGATTACCACCATGATACACAAAACACTCTAATAATCCAATTTATTTCTCCTAACTAGTAGCAATCGGAATGATTAATTTAAGACAACTCATAAGAATAGAGGGACTTTGTTGTAATTTTAATTATTTAAGGGACTAATTTTGAAAACCATTAAGAATGGAACCTAATGGTAATTCAAATATTTAAGGGGCTAACCAAAGTATGAAAGATTAAGGGACTAAGTTAAAAGGAAAAAATAATTTATGGTCATTATAATCTCTCGGAGGCAATAAACAAGGTTTTCATTTTCTTTATTTATTTTATTTATTTCTTTTGTCACCCAACACCAACGGGGACTGTGCCAGCTTTCCAACAAAATCACAAATTGGAGTGATTTTGCTTTTGGCTACATCTCACCAAAATGTGTCAGTTCTCATGTCAAAGAAGATTCAAACAAACATGGCAAAGTAACGAAAGCTGAGTGTGGGGCCCATAAAACTGATAGCTTGACATGATTTTCATTGGAAAAAAAATGCAACCAAATAGGCCTTAACGGTTTTCATTCTTGCTTCCGCGAAAATAGGTAGAAGTTGCTAAATTCGAGTTACCATTGGTAAAGAAGTATTAGCAGATGTCGAACCAGATCCAGAAGGGAATTGTCCATGGGAGTTAAACTTTGATGTAATTGGGTCAGTCGAGAACAATAACAATGTACCAAGTGAGGGCGAGTGGTGCATTAATGAAGATTTTATTTTGGCGTACTTGTCTGATGAACCCATTAAAGTTGGACAAATAGTAAATGATCATGATGCTTTTTAAATACTTTTTTTTGTAGAGACCAGGAGTTTTGGCTAGATCAATCAAGTATCACGAATGAGGTTCAAGCTTTGAGCATTTCCAAGTCCTAATTATAGAGAGATGAGATCTAGAGTCTAAACTCTCCCAGGGCACACTCTCCTACCTTGAGCCCACTATAATTCGTGGTCAATGATGGGGTTCCAGCCCTGCCCTAATACCATACGTGGGGGCTCATTGTTGGGTATCAACTCAAACTCTAAATTAGTATAGTGTTTTTAATTCTTTGTATAACTTCATGAGAATTAGATAGGGTTGGAGATCTGTCATGCCTCAAGTTTCACAATGGGAAGGTAGGAATTCTTCATCATGTGAGATATGTGTCGTCATGCGGTGCTAATTTAATTTCATTGAGTGAGATGGCATCACGTGGATACAAGTATATGTGTGAAGGACAATGGTGCAAAGTGTATAGAGATGGTGATTTGATTTTGCGAGGGAAGAAGAATAGCAACCATATTTGCTATTTAGATGGGCGATCCGTTAATAGTGTAGATTATTCTTCTCAGACTCTTGTCCACAAGGGAGAGGTGAAGAACAAGATGAAGAGAGTGAGTTTTTCTGAAGCCGTTAAGACATTTGTAGATTTTTCGTCGATGGAGGATATGTTGGGTATCAACTCAAACTCCAAGTTAGTATAGTGTTTTTAATTCTTTGTATAACTTCATGAGAATTAGATAGGGTTAGAGATCTATCATGGTTAGGAATTTGGGTTTTATCATGATTAGAAGTTTGAATCTTATTCTAATTAGGAAGTTAGGCTGGAGATAGGGTTTTGGTTTCCCTATATATATTCTTCTATTGTTGGAGAAAAAAAACTAAGAAGTGTAGAGAGAAAGAGAGAGAGAAAAGGGTTTGACAGCCTTTGTCCGTGCAAAAGATTATAATTTGAAGGTGATAGTGGATTGATTTTGATCCCGTGGTTTTCCCTTGTTGAGGGTTTTCCACGTTAGATCTTGTGTGATTTTATTTGCTATGTTTGATGGCTTTTCGGGGTTTTTGCAAGATCTAAAAATCCCAACACTCATAACTACTGTACCCAAAGTTCGTTATTGCTTGCAATGTCTACTTTCTAATAGTATTTCATGATAAAATTTGGTCGTTTTGTTTGGGTTCTATTGGTCTTAAGAATTTATCTAATCTTGTAGCTTGGGTAGAGATTTGTAAGCCAATATTTTATGGTGGTCTAAAAATTATAGATTTGTCAACT